CTGGCGTGATCTGGTGTGATTTCGATATGATCTGTCGTGATTTGGGTATGATCGGTTGTGATCTGGCATGATTTGGGTGTGATCTGGCGTGATTTGGGTCTGATGTGGGGCTCTGGTTTGGTTTCGGTATGATATGGCGTGATGACGCTATCCTCTGGCGTTATTTGAAATGATGTTGGTACGATCAGGCATGATCTGAGGATGATCTGGCGTAATTTGGGTATGACCCGGCTTGATAGGCGTGATTTGAGCGAGATTTGAGTATGATCTGGGGTGATCTGGCGTATTGTGAAAAATATCGTCGTAAATTTCCAAATTTTTGTAAACTCGAATTATAATTCAAGTTGTAATTTCGCAATGTTTTATTAACTCAAAACAGAACCATTTTGTGAAATGTTGTGCAAAGTGAAAGTTAAGTTTCTTCCATGACCCGGTTATGATTTGTTTTCTACGAGCCGACTTGATTCTCTTCGACAGTTCCGACAATTTCCGAGTGCCCTTGTAAAAATCTCCGACCACTTTCATAAGTAAGAGTAAACTCTAATTGTCAACAACATAAAGCTGAAATGTTGTGAAAATTACGAAAGATATTTTTAACGTTGAACGTTGTTTGAGCATTCACTTTTGGTTTGGAGATAATGGCTAATGAACAGTTCGATTAGCAGTCGAGAGGGCGCTCGGTCCAAAACTAGTGCGCGGTTCGGCGGCGGTCGTCATTAGAAGCAACCCGATAGCGGGAGATGTGCCGTGCCGCGGTCGGGATGGCCTACTTGCCAGGGGAGGGACATCCATAATCCAATTCAATTAGCAGCAGTCGCGGGACGGGCGGGGCCCCCCGACGTGCCGGGACGTGGGCGAGGCTCGTAGGCGCCGCCGGGGGCACGTCAGGTCGCAGGGGGCGCGTCAGGCGACATCCGTCAGGGCATCGACAGCGGCGCGACGAGCAGGAGCAGGTGTATGTTCGTCGAGATCCGCTCGGACTATTTGCAAGCGACTCCCACTCGTATATTCCATTAGCTGACTGTTGCTTGAAACGTGTAGAATTGTGCACTCTAAATGTCAGGCGTCAATTTTTGTCCATTGCAAGATGCATGTGTGGGCACAGCTTGCAAGATGCGATTTTGGATGTTTAGTTTGAACCCAGATAAGTAACAAGTTTGTATCTTCGGGACTCGGGTTGACATATTTTTATGTTCTCCAATTCAAAATAAACATCCAAAATCCAAAATTGCATCTTGTAAGATGCGCTCACAGATGCATCTTGCAATGGGCAAAAATTGCCCCTTGACATTAAGAGTAAAAGGAGCATTAAGACATATCATCAGCTACGGTCTCTCATTTCCAAGTTCCAAGATTCTCGCTATCGTGTTCGTTATGCCCATCCCTTTTTTTCCTATAGGGTACGCGCCGCTCCATGTTTAATGCGGGTGTGGCGTGTCACGCCTTGTCACAGGGTGTCACGCTGCGCCGCCGCCCCTGTCACGCCGGGTGACAACCGCATGCCCCGCACACCGGCCGTTACCTATGAGGGGGCATCAATAATGTCGCACTCCAAAGTGCAGCATTCTGCGCGCAGTGGGCATGGGGAGCAGCCCTGCATGCCCGGTCGATATAGCCTGTCACTCGAACTATATATCGCAAACGAGTCAAATGCGAAATGGTCCTATTGGCTCTGCTTTTAAAAATTGTGTACTTTAAACACTGCAAGACAAACAGTTTCCTCCCTTGTGAAAACGAACAGCTCCGAAAGACATCCGAAGCGGACTTGCTCCGTTTTTACTCCGACTAATGTGTTTCGGACTGTGTTACGATAGATAAAGTAACTTTAAACAAAATAAACTGGAAGGCTAGCTCATCGTAACCAGGTAGAGTGGCGGGGTCTTAGCAATGAATTTATATGGGGCGCCAAGGAAACAAATTCCTAACATTACTAAAACCGAAATTGCAATATCACAGTTTATTACATACAGACTTGAGGCACAATGGCAGAGAGGCTCAAACAACTAGGAAGTCCCGAAAGACAGCACAACGGCATTGAAGGGCACCATGGCCACTCGTTACGGTACACAAAGATACACAAATCCGGAAGAATCCGATACATAAACGTCAGCACGATTGAACTCCAGTTGAGTGATGAACTTGAGGTTAGACGACATGGCAGGCGAGGAGAAACATCCAATCAAAAAGGTCTCCATGAAACCATTGGCTCAAAGCCAGTCATGATGCAGGCGTCTAAGTCTTGCCCGACAAGAATAGACCCTAGAATAAGTAAAGGTAAAAATCAAACAAGGCTCGCGAAAGAAGTTAATACCACCAAAAACGTGGTCAGGGAGCAGTAGCTTACCGGGGAAAAGTGAGATGTTGTGCGGAGCTGGTGGTTCGCCCGGGTCGGTGTTCAGTTCAGCTCTGACACACCGAGCCGGGGACCGAACCAGCTGAGCGAGAAAGGTGGAAGGGGGAGGGGACAAGCGGAAGCGACCCGGTGCAAGGGCAGACCCATCTCCCGGCCAAGCAGGGAACTATGGCGTAAAGGGTTGCCTACGCACTAGGCGGGCAACTGCCACTCCGCCGCGAGACCGGGCACGTGGTAGATCGGGCTGCCTATGCTCCAGGCGCCTCCGTGTCAGGTTTGTTAGAAAACAAAAGTTACGGGGAACCGTAACATCCCCCCCGACCAAAAAGATTGTAAGCTACTCTCCAAAAAAAAAGGAAGAAAGAAATTAAAAGTGCTATAGCACAAGATAGGAGCCTTGGATGACTATTACCCCCCCAAAATAATGAGAATAGAAAATGCCCAAAGCTAAATGTTAAAGACCAACGTCAAGTTCATTCACAACACAAAACAATAATAATGCCTCAAATAAAATGCAAACCAATTGAAAGGACTTATGCTGACTGCATAAACCAAACTGCTGCTCTGATAAAACAGATCTTGAAACAGAAATCGATAAGTTCCACAAGCATGATACACGAAAACCTACTCAGAGTGTGCCACAGATAAACTATAAACACACTAGCCTTGAGAGGGATTAATTTCCATCGTCACAACATAATGGTGAAACCAGAGGCCTAATCAAACCTATAATTACCAAATAAGGTAAACCCTAAGATTATTAACTTCAAATGGACCGCCACAACTCACAAGTGAAAGTAGCAAAAGATTTAAACATATCATGTCTACAAAAATCCCCAACTGGGAAGACTATGAAAGATAAGTCAAAACAGACATCCGTTGACATCTATTAAACTGACCCCAAAGGTCAAAATGTCCCGATACACAAATAATATAGCGGATAGGACTTACAAAAGTAAACGACCAAGGTGGCCAGCCCTGATACACAATTAACCTATCCTGCCCTAAATTAATTTGCCAAGTTAATAACCCGCCCAAATGTACTCACACTTGTAAAAGCATAGTTGACAAATCAGCAGCAAAAAGAAACAAAAGCATCAAACACACCATGCCATATCTCCAAGCATCATTATAGTGCAAATCAGAAAGTGAATCAAGCGCAAAACACAAGAGTGAATTAGACAAAGTCAGGTAAAATCAAACATCACCAAAGCAACGCTAAACACTATAAAATACAAAAGTTGAAGTAACTAAGAATTAACTCAGATAGAAAAGTATTCAAACACATCAAGTCCACTCAAAGTGCCAAAGATATAACCCAATGGGAATACACTGAAAACCCAACAAGCCAAAGCTAAGGGCTAAAGCGGAAACTCTGCATACAAGAAAA